TGGGGCAGTCATGAATGCAACAAGGAGATTTAACAACCAGCTCATCTGGGAACATCTGGGAACATCTTCGCTCACACATGGCCAAACCTGCTCCCACGGCAACGTCCTGGCCATGTTTAAGCAGCCGGTGGGACTTGGAGCACTTTGAAAACCCAGCTTGGAGGCATGAAGCTCAGCATGGCCACAGCGGCCATGCTGGGAACATCTGGGAACATCTTTGCTCACACGTGGCCAAACCTGCTCCCACGGCAACGTCCTGGCCATGTTTAAGCAGCCGGTGGGACTTGGAGCACTTTGAAAACCCAGCTTGGAGGCATGAAGCTCAGCATGGCCACAGCGGCCATGGGAGCATTTCAGGGCTTGGGATGCCGGAGTGACTTTGAAAGACTTTTAATTCACCTGCAGCTGTGACGCTGGCACCACCCTGCTGTCCCTGAACCCCCACAGCACACCCGGGTCCCTCTTCCAGCGAGCACTAGTTCAAGGTTAATAGGGCTGGAGAAATGGGCTGTCACCCAGTGCTTACTCCTGAAAGGCCCCATTTCTTCCTTAATTGCAACTCAAAATCAAATTAGCGGTTTTAAATTTACTCTGTGCCCAAGAGGTACCACGGGGCAGGGGAGGACACACTGTACCCTTCATCCTTATGTAATAAAAAGGGCAAATTCCTGCTTTGAGGGCAAAATTGCTGCCACCTCTGCCCTGGCTGGCCCATTGCTTCGGTGTCTTTGGGGTCCCGCAGATGGAGATGCTCATCCTGGATTCAGGATGAGCCTTTGGGGTGATGGAGATGCTCATCCTGGATTTGGGGCTGCCCCAGCTTCCCCAAGCAGCCACATCATTGGGCTCACTGGGGTGATGCCATGATGGCCGAGAGCCCCCAGCACTGCTGCCAGGGCTGTGTGTGCCCCCCACACCCATGAAGGATGGCGGGGATGTGGGTGCAGGCCTGGGGAGCCAGGTCATGGCTGTGGCACGCTCAGGGCCGGGGATGGCACCGGCTGCATTATTGATGCTGTAATTCAGCACCCATGGACTGTGGTCCACATGGGATGTGGTTTCATTTCCCGGGCATAGAAATCCCCCCGAGGGTGGGGGCTGCCCCCCAGGGCTCAGCCGTGAGCCAGGGATGTGCCGGTACTTTGGAAGCAGCTGCTCCACAGTGGCCCATAGCAGAGGGCAGAGACAGCCGCCGCTCCCAGAGAAAGGAAATTCGGGGGCCAGCACTGCGCCAGTGGGGCTGTGCGTGCACAGAAAGCCTCAGTGTGCGCACACACACATGCACCCTCCACTGTGCACATGCGTGTGCACCCGCCAGCCTGCGTGCACAGCTCACGCCCCCGGAGAACCGTGCTGCCCCGGGAGCATCCTCCCAGCTGCTTCTGCTGCAAATTTCTGCCTCTCCCAGCTGGAGAGTTGCCATCACGGTGACCCTGGGGTCCATTCAGCGCAGGCAGTGGGTGCTCCCCACCAACGTCATTTGCCGGTGCTGCCAGGTGCACACTGGGCCCCGGGGCAGGCGCTGCGTGCAGCTGGGGATGGTGCAGAGGGGCCGTGAACGTGGCAGGGCCCGTGGGTGCGTCTGCCTCACCGGAGAGGGGTGGGGGGAGCCCAGCGCTGCCTGTGTCCCTGCCCAGCTCCCTTCGCCAGCAGGTGCCACCTGGGCCAGGCTGGCAAATCCTCCCGCCAGTATACCACGTCACTCGGGGAGGAACGGAACATCCAACGGGTATTTAAGAGCCTTTGGTGTGGCTGGGGACTGCTTGCCAAGGTGGGCAAGGGTACCCCATGGTGCCCAGCCGTGTGCGGTGGGACCAGGGACTGGGCAGGGAGGGGACACAACCACATCAGAGCTGAGAGCCAGGTCGGAGGAGGAGGTGTCAGTCCAGGGGAAAGCCCTTCCTCTGGGTATCTCCTCCCCAACTTGCCCCATGGACGGAGCGGGGCCAGGGCGCAGCATTCCGGCTGGTGTGCAGCCCCACTCCTGCCCGCAGTGACGCCCCCCTCCCCCCCTCCCCCCGCCCCCCGCCCCCCCTTCGTTCCAATATAGTCTTTATTGGGGAGACTGATGGGGGTTAGAACAAGGCCGGGTATAAAACATGATCATCGTCACAACCAGCAGCGGGAGGCATTGGCAGAGCAACACAGAAACGGTATCGGCCCCCGTTCTCCGCCGGCAGTGGGGTGGTATCTGGGGCTGTGCCAGCGGCATCGCCTGCTCCCTCGGGGCGGGCAGGGGGGGACGGTTCGGCCCCTCTCCCTGGATGGATGCTGGGCTTCAGCCAGTGCCGGGGGCTGCTCTTTCCTCCAGGGTGCGGGGCTCTGTTGGGCCCCTCTGGCTCACCCAGCCCCGGTGCCCTGGGACCGGGCGGTGTGTGCCCCTGGTGCTGTGGCCGTGCCGGGTTGTGGTGCTCAGCCCCACAGGAGCACCCACAAATTATGGCTTTTTCTTTATTTTTTTAGGTTTATTTTTTTGCTTTTTTGGCAGCAAACTTACCCCTCCAGGTGCCCTGGAGAAAGCAAGACTGTGCACAGGGGGCTGCTGCCCTGCCAGCCCCTCCACACAGGGGTCAGAGCAGAGGTGCTGCTCCAGGGAAGGGAGCGAGGGCAGGAGCCAGACCTCTGCCCCCCTGCCCAGTCAAATCCCCTCGCTGGAGCTGGCAATTTGCGGTACTGGACCCCGCGCCGCCCCCGCTAGCCATCCCACAGGGCATCGGTGCGGGGCCCCGGGTGGAGTGGCAGAGAACGGGCACAGCTCAATGCCTTTGTGAACATGTAGCGGCCTGGGACGGGGCGGCCAGGGATGGATGGGGAGAAAACAAGAATCCTCCAAAACGAGGATAAAGTGGAGCTTTCCTCAAGGGCCTGTGGAGGAAATGGGCCGCATGTATGCTCGCAACCGAGGGGCCAGTGCAGCGGCTTGGCGTGGCTACAACGACTCGGGCGCATGGCGGCTTGGCCGCTGAGATGAAAGCTTTGGCAAATAACTTACAGAGAAGGAGGGTGGGGGGCAGCCGGGGACCTGTCCTCACCTTCCGTGCCGGGCAGGCGACCCAGTGCGGCACCAGGCACCTCCAGGGCTCCTCATGCTGCCGCCGGCAGCCACGGGGCAATGGGGAGGGTGTCGCTCCGGCCGGGACCCAGCGTCCACTCTCAGGAGCCAGAGGGAGAGAAGAGGAAGAAGGCGCCCAGGGAAGGAGTGTGGCGGGATGCTCAATGCACAGCGGGGGGACCCGCCACAGGATGGGGGGGGCCGGAGCCCCTTGGATGCGCTGGTGGACATGCTCCCCATCCCAGCGTCCCTCTCCCTGGGCACCACCGGGGCGTAGGGGTCTGCCGCCAGGTCCCAGCATCCCCATTGCTCCCCGCCAGCGAGGACACCAGTCCCATGTCCTTGGCCGCGGCGAGGATCGGAGCATCCCCAGGCTGTGCCACGGGCAAAGAAGGGACCGGGGACCGGCCGCAGCACAGCGCCATTCTCTCCCACCCGCCGGCCGCCCCGCTGCCGGGAGGTGTGGGCAGGGGCGCGGGGCTCACATGATGGTGCAGGAAGACAGCGGGTTTCGGATGTGGCAGGTGCAGGCAGCCCCGCAGTACTGGCGAAAGGTCTGGTAGCAGCTGCGGTCGGTGTCGCTGCTCCACTGGACGGGGTTGGCGGCCAGAGCCTCGGCCGGCAGTCTGTTGAGGATACTGGTGTTGACGGCCAGCGCCGCCAGCCCGTAGTCGGTGAAGAGGACGGTCTCCCGCTTGCAGGTGGGGCAGGAGATGAACTTGTACTTGGGGCAGGACTCGTAGAGGATCTGCAGGCACTCCTCGCACACTGAGTGCAGGCAGGAGAGGATGCGGGGCCGCTTGTTGGTGAAGTTGTACATGTGGCCGCAGGTGGGGCACTCGAGGGGCTCGCAGGGGGTCGAAGGGTGCAGCACGTACTGGTTGACGATCACCTCATCCGACGGCGGCTGCCGGTGGTAGCAGACCTCCGAGCTGCCCTTCCGCTGGCTCTGGTACCCCCCGACCCCCTCCGGCTGGCTCTGGTCCCCGCGCTCGCGCCGCGGCAGGGGGGGAGTCCGGGGCAGCGGCAGGGGGCCGGGGGCAAGGCAGGGATGTCCCCACTCCCCAC